AATTCTAAAATTTATGCATAATTGCAAAAGGCCAAAAATAACCAAAATACTCATAAAGAACAAAGCAAAAATATTCATAGATATCAAGATGTTTTGTTATAATTGTTAAAATGGTATGATATGGGAAATCTGAGGCAGGAGGACCACGAGTTCAAAGCCAGCAATGTCGAGGCATTTAACTACTCAGTGAGACGCTGTCTCTAAATCAAATACAAAATAGGGCTGGAGATGTGTCTCAGTGGTTGAGTGCCCCTGAGTTCAATCCCCCATATAAAAAAAAGCATGATATAGACACAAAAGTAGGAAAATAACTGATAAAATATATAGTCAGTAATAGATATATACATATATGAACACTTGATTTATATCAAAGGTGACATTGTAAGTGAAATGATTTCATTTTGATAAAATGTACCTATCTTCAATTATTTGTATATTCATATAGAAAAAGCAAAATTTACTTTACATTAAGTTAAAAAAACCTCAATTCCAGAAGGATTATACGTTTAATTAAAACTTTTTTTAAAAAATAAAATTCTAAAAGATAACAGAAAAATATCTTCATGACCTTAGGTTAACAAAGGAAAAAGAAACAGAAAGCAATTAGGATGAAAAAGAAAATCAAATAAATGGATTACATTAAAAGTAAGAATTTCAGTTCATGCAAAGATAATACAGGGAATGAGAAAGCAAGATTGGGGAAGATATTTGCAATGCATGTAATGATAGAAGACTCATTCAGAATAGGTAAAGAGTCCCAACACATCAATCAGAAAAAGAGACAATCTCACAGAAAAATGAAGCTACATCCGTGAACAAAGGAGGATTATCTAAAAGCCAATGTATACATCAAAAAGTTTCCACTTCAATAGTTATTAGGAAAATGCAAATTAAAGTTCAATAAACACCACTGAAATGACTAAAATTAAGTAGACTGACATTAACATAAATGTGACAAAATAATGCTGTGGAGCAGGGGTGTAAATAAGTACAAATAACAGGAAACTGTCATTACCAATCAATGATGCATATTCACAACCCAACCAACTAGCCAGTCTATTCCTAGATACATACCCAAGAGAAGTGAGTAGACACAGGAAGCATAAGACGTGAATACAAGTTTTCACGGCAGCATATGGAAAAGGATTTAAAAATTGGAAACAATTTAGCTAGCAATAAAGAGCAGAATTAAAATTTACAAAGTTTCAGTTAGATAGGCAGAATATATTCTGGCATTTTATTGCACAGCATGGTGACCACAGTCAATAATAATATGTATTGCATATCTCAAAAGAGCTAACAGGGAGGCGTTTTAAATGTTATCACAACAAAGAAATGACAAATGTTTGAGATGATGGATATGTTAATTAACCTGATTTGATCTCTCCATAATGTATACATGTACTGAAACATCATATGTACACTGTAAATATATAAAATTATTTGCCAATTAAAAAAATAAAATCAAAAAATTTTTCAAGTTAAGTTGTGTATTTCTTCAGTGGAAACTATAATTAAGAATAAACAGTTGCTGCTATATGCAAAAACATGAACGAACCCTACAAAAGTCACATGAAGAAAGAATCCAGACACAATAGTTTATTCTATATGTTTCCATGAGACTAATGTAGGATTTTAGAAATCATGAGAGCAGTTCCCTTTAGAAAGGAGGAGAAAGGATGGGGAGAAACATGAGGGATCCTTGAATACTGGTAATATTTATAATTTTGGGTGATGATTAAATACTAGACATTTACTTTGTGAAAAAAATCTTTGACCTTACATGACCCACAAATTTAGGATTTGTGCATGTTTCTGCATGTAAACAATTTTACCAAAGGCAAAAAATAATTGACAAAAGTTTGATGTGCAAGTTACAACACAGTTAAAAATAATATAATGTATAGGAAAGAATCATGCCTCAATAAACTACCCTGTTATCAAACTGCTTATTAAACATTCATCTCCCATACAGAGCTTCTCCAGGACTTATTTTAAAGATGAACTTGATTTTCTGCTCTTGCCTCTTCTTAACTGTGGTCAGATTGTACAGTAGTTCAAGGGCTGTGGCATCCTGGCAACTTACGCTGCCTGTGAGCAGCAGGGCTTTGCCTTGTGCCAGTGATGGTTGGGGTAGGCAGGACTATTCCTTAGGAAGTGCCCAAGTTCCCAGTTTTGCAGAGGCAGCAACTTGTGGAGTTCTGGGGCATGATAGTAAATAATGGGGGCATAACCAAGAAGCTTCATGGCCCTTTCCTACAATCCATGCCATCTGCCCTGTTGCATGCTGCTTAGCCTCTGGAGAAAGAAGGGCATTTGATAGCTCAAAACTATTCACCTCATAGCCAGAAAGTGAAGGAAAGAGAGAGAAAGAAGGGCATTTCCTCTTCAAAGGCATGTCCTCAAGGGCATGTCCTCAAGGGCATGTCCTCAATGACCTAGAGACTTCCCATTAGGCACCGCCTCTTAAAGGTTTACCCACCTCCCAATAGTGCTTTCCTGAGGAGCAGGGCTTTACCACTTCAGATCCAAAGTATAGTGCTCATCAATATAAACATTTTAAACAGGTGTGGGCTAAGAATGTAGCTCAGTGATAGAGTGCTTGCCTATCATATGTGAAGCCCTGGATTAAATCCCCACTACTGAAAAAAAAATGGTGAATTTTATTACATGTAAATTATGCTTCAATAACGTTGATCTAAAGAGAAAAAGAAAATCACCAGAAATCATGCCATTCAGTGATAACCATTGCCATTGTGGTGTTTTTATACTGCTGGGGCATAAACACACACACACACACACACACACACACACACACACACCATACATACACAATCACACTCCATGTTCTATTTTCTTCTCTTTCAATAATATATCAGAAAAACCTTTCCATGTTAATACATAGAATGCTGAATCAGTACATTTATAGTAGTATCCTACACCATTATGTCAACATGATTTACTCTACCTATTTTCTGTTGGAAAATTAAGATGTTTCTAATTTTCACTATTATGAATACTACCATGAATATCCTCATAACTACATGCTTACACTTATCCATAATTATTGCCATAGAATAAATTTCTGCCAGTAAAATTAAGGAGTCACATGGACTCACATTTTTTAAGGAATGATTAATCTTTCCAAATTGCCTTCCCATACCAGTTTTCCTGCCCACCAGCAATCTCTTGGTCTCAACTACAATACAGTCAGCTGTGGTGCTCTACAAGAAGAGACACAGGTAAATCCCAATAAGAAATACATATTGAAATCCTACGGTCAGGAGTTTCTGAAATCTTACTAAGTCAATGTCTCAGCCCTAACTTAATGCAAGGCCCATAAAGTTTCAGAGTACTCCTAACCGGGCACATCCAAGACCCAAACTCAGGACAAAAGCCACTATATGACTTGCTAGGGGAACACTGAGTCAAGGAATCAGAAATGAACTCACTTCATCCCAAGTCCAGAGGCTCTCTAGACCTGTACCCCCTTTACCCCTTTGGGGATCAAACTTTGTTGGAAAGCAGCCCCTCTGGGGAGCCTAGGATCCTGGAAATTACATGTACAGATTGTGGTTTCACAACTGTTGTGTGTCAGCACAACCCCAGTTAGTTCCAGCTTTTTCCCATCCTGATTCTGCTGCATGTGGCTTTGGGATGCTTATTTAACCTCTCTAAGCCTCAACTTCCTCAACCGAAAAATGGAAATAGAAGTTGTACCTATCTCATAGTCTTCAGAGGATGGCATGAGATAATAAACCAATTTTACTAGCACCACCCCTGGCTCCAAGGAGAGGCTTATATTTGGTAAGTATTATTATTGTTTATTGGTTCCATCATCTTTATCTTCAGGCAGCAGAAGGCTGCAAAAACAACCACTGGCCTTTATATTAATATCTGTACCCACCACCCTGGTGTCCATACAAAAGGCCACCCACTGTGCTCATTTTAGAGCTGTCTAATGCCACGATAAGCTCAGAACACGAAACTCCATTCTTAGGAGAGGCCTGCCCACCCCTCCTGCCTCCAGGACCACGCCTGACAAATATAGCAGAAATTACAGGCATCTGATTTAAGGCTATGTGTGTACATTTCGCCCTAGCCAAGCCCCAAACCTTACTTCTGAGGCTGCATCAAAGGAGCATCTCTCCTCCAGTCTCCAGGCCCAAAGCAAGCCGCAATTTGGGAGGCAGCCCCCTCTTATTTTTAGCCTTTAAAAAAAAAAATGCCAAAAGCCAACATACCAGCGCTCACTCAAGCGTCTCTCACAAGCTGTTGTTTGACTTGGGTTGAGAAAATGACAGGCTGAGTTCTGCACCAACAAGAGAAGAAAAAAACGGGGGAGAAAAGAGTTTTATTTTCCCTCCACTGCTAACCTCCGTCCCCCTCAACTCCTCCCCTAGGCCTGGGTGGACCCTGCCTGGGTAATCGTCCCCTGCTATATTTAAAAACCACAGATGTGTTCGGTGGAGACTTAATTTCGGAATTGCAGGCGGCGTCTCCTGAGGACAAGGGGAAAGCCAGAGTCGCGCGCCCGCCTGCTGCCTGGAGCTCCCAACTCCCGGGAATCCAGGTCAGGACGCGCCGATGTCTTGGAAGCGCCGCCGGCCCAGAGGCGCTGGACGCCAGGCTCCAATGGTTGGATGGGTGGGCGAGGTAGGGGTTCTGTCTGCGTTTGGTATTCCCGGGCTCTCTAGACGCGAGGTGCAGGCTCGATGTCCCCAATTCTGGCCGGGAAGTGATCTGAAAGTCTCCCTTCTGCGCACCAGGCTGAATATGCGCGGCTTGTCATTCGGTGCGGCTCTCTCTCCCAGCTGATAGGGTGACGTTCGCTTTGGAGGCTTGGAGATTGGCTTTTTGATTTGGCTTCTTGCGGCAGCTTAATGGGCAAAGCTCTCGGCTCGCCCAGAAACCAGCCCCTCCGCTCGTCCCCTCTGCGCTCAGCGAGGCCGAGACGTCTCCCGCGGTGACGGCGTGAGAGTCGGAGAGCCGGCGCGCTCCCAGTCCCGGGAAAGCCCCGGCGACGCGACTGAGAGCCTGAGCCGGGTCCCTTGGAGCCGCCAGGGCGCGCCGGGCTGCTTGCTTTGCAGCCCCTCCCGGCAGGGATCCCCCGCCGCCGGCGGCCGGGACTCCGGGCCTCTCCCGCGCTGGGCGACCCGTGCTCCGCGTCGGGGTTTTCCTGGTTGCTCGGTTCCGCGTGAAGCGCCCCCTCCTCTGTCCCCTCGCCCTGGCCTCAGCCCCGCTCCCTCCCAGTCCTCGCGCTCCAGATGCGCTGCCCCGCAGCCCCCTGACAGCTGCGAGTCCACGAGCCCCTGCAGGCGGGCGACTGAGGTGGCGGCGGACTGACATGCCCCGGACGCGGTTGCGGCCGGCGGGCAGCCCGCGGGGGCGATGAGCCGCTGCGGCCCGTAAGGAGCCCGGTGGCGGGGGCATCGCGCATCTTCCTTACCCTCTTCGCTTGCCCACTTGTCTCTAGAGGCCGAGAGGAAACGGTGAGTAATGGGGTGAGCCTCCTGCCCTTCCCCCTCAGCGGGCGACCGAGGCAGGGGAGACGGAGGCTGGGAGGCTTGGGATGCCCCAAGAAGGAACGTGGCCGTGAATAATTATGGTAATTAAGTTATTTCTTATGATCATTCATAGGTATTGCCTTTTTGTGGGTTTACTGCCAGTAGAAGTCTATGTGTGTGGATGGTGTGTGTGTGTGGTGTGTGGGGGGGTGCCCTGGAAAGTATACGTCGTGTATGCGGTGTTGGAGAGGGAGGTCTGTCGGAGTGAGTGTCTATGGGGGTGCTGGGAGAAATGCCTGGGAATGTATGTACAGTCCAGTCGTGGGCTTGCTGGGTAGTGGCGGGTGCTCAGCTCATTGGGGAAATCGCTGCGTTGCGTGCTGTATGCATGTGTGTATCGCTTGTGCCAGGGCGTGTTGGGCTCTTGGGGATGAATGCCCACCGGATTTGGGGGCTAGGAGGAGAGCGCATTATTCACTCGGCGCGCGCCCGCGTGCACACAGGCACGCACGCGCGCATCCCAACCTCGGGACTCCACCGCCGCGGGTCGGGAACTGCAGCCCCAGCTCACCCTCCCACCGCCGCCAAAGGGGCGGGCGACAAGGAGGGGTTCTCCAGTCCTTGACTGTCCAGACTGGGGTGGTCTGGGCGATCCGGGCTGTGTGGAGAGAAGCGAAGTATATAATAACTAAGCCCCCTCCCCACTCTCTTCCTCCCCCCCCCTCTCTCTCTCTCTCACACACACACACACACACACACAGCCACAGGCCCTCATTTAGAGGTTAGCGCTGCTCGTGCAGACCCTGGCTGACCTGCCCCAGGATCCAAGCCTTTGGGGGAGATGATGAAAGCTATTTGCTCCAGGAAAAACGCAGTTTTTCGCCTGTATTTATTGTGTTTTATTTTTAACCGTGGAGGGAGGGGGGTTAAATAAAACAAACGCCTTTAATGCAGTGCCATAAATTTACCCGCTCGCTTCTGCCCGCCTCCTTTCCCCCTTTCCCTGTCTCTCTCTCTCTCTTTTTTTCCCCCTTCTCTTTTGGCGATTAAAACACAAACCCCTGAACGTGGTGCTAAGGTTTCCCAGGCAGAAAGACTGAAATTGAGTGCAATTTATCAGAAACGCAGGCTGCAGCTGGGAGCCAGGTGCTCAGCTCCTGGGTGGTCAAGAAAGCCCTGAAGCTGGGGAGGGTGTGGGTACGTGATAGGAACACATCCGGCCTTCTGGTGCGGGCACCAAAAGGGAAGCCTCGGGGCCTCCAGCGACCTGGTGACTTGCAGCCGCCTGTGATTAATCTTCCACAGCTGTTGTGCCCCGTCCACTTGAGCTCAGCTCTTGTTTACCTCGGGTTTTCAAATATAGCTGCTGCGCCATGCTCTTCCTGAAATAGGGTGATCAGTTCACTGTGTATGGGCGCTTGGCCTCCAGCCGGCCCTTTCTTTTGCTGGCTTCCCCAACTGCATCCAACTTTGAGAGGAAGCTGGCCCTTCACTCCTTGCACTTTTCCAAATGAGGATGGTTGATGGTCAGAGTTTGTGGTGACCAGATGTGGGCTCCTCAGCCCAATCCTTCTTTCCAATCTACAGTTTCCATAGTAGTTACTTTTTAAACACAGTCCACTCCCTAGTCTTTTTCTTTAAATAAGTATAGATATTTGGTTGAGAAGAAGCAGAAAGAACCTATAGAACTGAATTTAGTCGCAGTGGTCCTTCTTTAACTTGCTGCAGATGGGAAGGCCATTCAGTTTCCTCTACCTGGAATACTTACTTAAGTTCTCCCAACACCCCTAATGTGCTCCTACACACCCTCCAGCTCTCAGCTACTTCTCCAAGGAAGCCTTCCATACCTTCTCTGACTAGGCCAGGTTCCCTTATTTCATACACCCATAACTTATGATTTTGAAGTGATTTAAAGATGCACATTAAATTTGTTTATAACTGAGTAATGCTGGGCACAGCTCTAGACAATAAGCTCCACAAAGACAGGAAAGATGGCTGGTGTTTTTTCACATTATATCCCCAGCGCCTATCTCTGTGCCTGGCATACAGCAGACACTCAGTAAACATTGGTTGAATTAATAAAACTGGAAGGACAAGTTACAGCTTCTTCTCTCTGCTCCTGCTCCTCTGATCTCCACTTTGTACTGCTCTCCACATCCTCCTGGTCAGAAAAGGGAGTCATATGGGATCAAACTGATCCTGTCAAAAAAAAGTCCCTTTCTCCTGTGCCCCTCCATAGGCTGGGACCCCAAAGCATTTGCCCTGACCCCAGTCTGCTCCTTTGTAAGGCAATTCCTTATGTAGTCTCTGAACACAATTATTGGTATTGACCATGAGCACTCATTGAAGGCATTGTGCCCTGGCCTGCATGATCCATCCAGTGATTGCCCACAATCTGGATTGAAGAATGTGTCACACATCTTGACTTCTCTTCAAACCATTAGAAGAGAGGAAAAACTTTTTCACTGAAGTCTGGTTGTTTTCAATATTTGGTGAGATTCAGAAATACACTGGATTCCAAAAGAGAAAGCTTTCATTTATTTGTTCAGCCAGCCATTTATTTAAGGAATATTCAACAGCCACCTACCTGCCAGCATGTGTTAGTAAGGTGCAGAGGCAAGTAAAATAGAATGGCCCCTTTCCTCATACACATAGATTCCAGCAGGGATAACCAACCAGTGAACAGGCAGTTTCGGCAGAAAGTGATTGCTCTCCCTGGGGGGTAAATCACGGGTCAGTGTAAGTGCACAGGAAGAACACCCCTCCATAGGGCTTTAAGGATTTTAAGGAACAGCTAAGCCCAGAAAGGAAGGAAGGAGGTGAAAGCAGGAAGGGGAGGGCAGGAAAGGTAAGAAAGTACTGAGTGAAAAGAGGAATATGCAGAGGCCTATCGTAGAGGAGACTTTTCCCAAATGGCTGCAGATAGAGTATAATGTGTGTGTGTGTGTGTGTGTGTGTGTGTGTATGTGTGTGTGTGTGTGTGTATGGGGTGAGGGGGTTGAGTCTGGAGAAGCCATAGGGCTTTTACTCCATGCTAAGGATTTTCACCTAGTTTCCAGTGGGAACGGTCAGATTTGCATTTTAGATAGTATGCTGAAATTGGCTGAAACTGGAGTGTAGGAGGAAAGGGAGGCAGAGAAGGAAGAGGCTGTTTTAGATACTCCCGAGTGTGGTCCTGGCAGCTTGTGAGGGAGGCTCTCTGTCTGCTTTAGTGTATGAACCAGAGATGCCTTTTTAGAAAGTTCCATTAATTTTCTTTAATGAGGTCAGTTTATGTTTGGTTGCTCGTTTGGTTTTGAAATGGGCATTCTAAACCTAATACTGGTCAGGGTATTTTAGGGGAAAGGAAGAAGGCTGTAGGAGGCATACAATACACTAAGCAGCAGAGCAAAGCAAGCTCCCCAAGATTGGAGATGGAGAGGTCTCGGAGGCCTGGGAAAGACCCCAGGAAGGAGCCTGGAAGGTTAAGAAAGGTTTAGGTCCAATGACACATCCATAGAGATCACAGAGCAAGATATCTAAATAAGAAGAATCACATGCATATGTAAATGGATTTCAAAAAATAATATGGAGGGCGAATGAAGGCTAATTCCAGAATCATGTACTCAGACAGGGTATGTAGGGAGTCCTATCTACTACGAACACTGTTCTATTTCATCCTAGATATAGTTTGGAATAGGCCACGTAGCACTTATTGGCTTGATATTTGGATTGACCCATAGGGCTTCCCTGGTTGTATGCAAGAATGCTGGGTCATGTGGGGACTGGATCCGGAAGTGGGACTGGAAACTGAAAACCTGCTCTGGCTCCCATGTACTACTTTCCAAGTCACTTGAGAGGAGAAGATCTCAAAGTCCTAGAGAACGAGGCAGACAGTACGGAGCTTGATCAGTACTCTTTCTTTGCACCCTGATTTTTCCCACTTGATTTCTTATTCTTCTCTAACCTCAGAGTAGAAAATTCCTCTCCTCCTGCCCAGTGCCCAGGGAGCCACCTGGGCCTTCACAAATTGCTTTAGACTCTCTCTTATCTGAAGTTTCTTGCTCCTTAACTCAGCAGAGCAATATTATTTGTGTATTTACCCCTTGTCACCTACTCTGTTGAAAAGTACTACCCATGGGTTTTTCCCCATTCAGTCCTTGCCATAGCTGCATGAAGTAGTTACTATCATGATTACACTGTTCAAAATGGCATCTACCATCTTCCCAACTTCAACCTCTCACTCTTTCAAGTCTTTTTGACCACTGCTGCAAAATTTACTTCCCAAAACACCCTCCTAAGCTCTTCATTTTCCTTCACAAAAGTCTGAGAAGGACACCCCATTTTTCCATATCCTTGTATTCAAGTTCCTGTGTTCTGGCTCCCCACTCCACATGTAGCCATGGGGTCACCTGTGTAAAGTTGTCCTTTCTTCTCCTATGCCTTGGTTCATAGTTTACCTGCCCCTGAGGGTCATACCTGCCTCCAACATTCTATTCAATGGCTCTTCCTGTTGGGGAGGCTTCACCAAGTACTCCTTTCTCCTCTGAATCTTGAGAACACAGCCTCTGTTTGTCATGAGTTCCTTACACTTTCTGAAATGGAGGGGTTTTGTTCTGGCTTTTCTGCCTGTGGCTTGCCTCCCCCTCCTGGGTCGGCCTTCTCTCTCCCGCTCCCTGTCCCATGCAGCCTGAAACACACTAGATGTTCAATGAAAAGTGAAGGAGTGAACAAACCACCTTGCTCTCGAGGCAGGTGAAACAAGGTCAAGGAAGGGGATCCCTGCAATTTAACATAAAAGAAGCAAGCAATGGAGTAACAAATCAAGCCAGGAACAGCCAACGTGTCATAACAGGAGAAGCATGGGGCTGGTGGTAAGAAGGTTAGGTTCTAGTTGTTATTGCTTCTGACAACCACAGAAAAGAGCTGTCTTTATCCTCTGGGTCTTGGATTCCTTGTTCATTAAAAGAGTTTGGATTCGATGTGTTGACTGATAAGCTCCTCCC